AACAGAAGTGAAATTCTTTTGATCAAATTTGCATGAAATGCATTAAACAAAAAATTGGAGATGCTGGGGATTGAACCCAGCTACATCCCCATTTACAAACTCAGTTGCGGTAATTATTTTTTGCCAATATGTTCATGAATGCACATGAGGTTCAAAGGTCTAAAAACCAGGAAAGGTTTTACTTAAAGATTAAATATTGATTGGAGATGCTGGGGATTGAACCCCGGACCTCATACACAGGGCCGTGTCTAGAGGGATGGCACGGGGTGGCACCGGCCCCTCCTGGTGCCCCCCAACATCATTGGGCTAGATTTACTGTCGACCTAACAATGCCCAATGCTATTGGATCAGAGCGCTGTCAATCACTCATAAGATGAATCAGAACGCTTTTGCGGATTATTGATTTTCAACTCGCGAAGCAGAATCACAGTTCCACGGTTTTCAAACAGGAGGAGAGAGAGAGAGAGAGACACCACGACACATCACTGTTTATGGAATGTACACACTGAATTACATATTTTGAAATATCGCACTGTATTAGTATTTAGTCTGATTACTTTTGTGTGTGAGTGATCAAGCTATTGTATAGGTTAGCTAACGTAACTTCGGCAGACTACTGAATAGAGATGACTTGTCAGTGTTATTCAGATGTTGAATTAAACATACACACAGTCAGCTTTTCCACATGTTTATAATGGCCCTGATAATCAAAACATCTACTTAGCGCTTGCTCCATTTCTGCAAATCAGTTTTTTTGAATGAATGACTTGATCCACCTGTTGCTTTGGTCTTCATCAACAGCCGCTTGCGCCACCTGCTGGTGAGCGACTGACAGCAGCTGGAGATCATGCATCGGTGCTCTACTGCTATTCCTGCAGCTCCCGGATGTGCAATGCCGAATTTTCTGTCGAATTTTAACAACTGAATTTGTGGAAGCGAATTTGGAAAGTGAAATAAAATGGACAGAAATTTGCCTGGCGAATATTATATATCGTATTTTTAAACAGATTGAATATTTTGGAAGTGAATTCTGGAAGGTGAATATGAATTATTGAATTTTTAATTATGAAAATGTGTGTGAAATATTTTGAATTGAAATATTCACAGCTTAAATAGACAAATTTCAGGACCTAAAAATGCAAGCCCTGGAAATACAAGGCATTAAAATGCAAGCACTGTTAATGCAATGCATTATTTTTTCAGCTAGTGTTATTCAACGTGCTTTTTTGTTTCAAAGACATATGGCATTATTTTTCTTCCATAATGGTGCAATGATGTATAACCATTTCTCAATGTCTTTCTCTAGAGGCAGTCATATGCAAATGTATTTGCCTATGTGACGTCACAGATCCCACAGAATCCAAACAAGCTGTTTTTGGAGCTTGGACTAGCAGACCAACGAGCTACTTCATACTGTGTCTCAGTTCTAAGAATGCAAAGAACAGTTTTGTGTTCTCATGGAGACCGGACTTGTCAGGCTACCTTGAAAGAACAAACTCGGAAGCAGGGATGGGCAGTATTTCAAATACATGTATTTGAAATACAAAATACTATTTTGTATTTAAATTTCTTTGAAAAAAAAATCAAATGTATTTAGCATTTAAATACATTTAATCTTAGTATTTTTGAATTTTCAAAATACATAAGGTACTTGCCTATGCAAGCATATGGGTAGCGATATTCATTTTTAAATGTAATTTGCAAAATGGCAATGCAATATGTAAAATGGCAATGCATTTCTTTATTTAAATTTTTAGTGCAAAATGAAAATGAAAATCCAATTATATAATTTACATTTGCCATTTCCTACACTAGTTTTAATATGTAAATTAAAAACATATTTTAAAGCTTTTTAAGTTGCAAAATTAAAATGTATTACCCAAATTAATTAGATGTTTAACATGTCCAAGCAAAAACTGTAGCAAAAATATCATAAAGAAATGCCTTTTTTCCTAAATGCATTTAGACTTACTGGTAGGACACTTAGGATTGCATTTTCATAGTGATACCACATGATAATTGTAGCAAAATGCAGTGTGAATTTCAAAATGCATTCTAAGCCAAATGTGCAGCAAAAGGGTGGCAAAAATGGTGAATTAAATGTATTTTATTTTTCTTAAATGCATTGACACTTACACTTAAGAGGTTTGAATTGCATTTTCATTAAATACCCTGCGATCAGTGTAGACTAGTCAATGTGGATTTGAAAATGCATTCCGAGCCGATCACGCCCCCAACCTGTCAATCAATATATAAAGGCGGGGCTTGGCAACAAGACGCACAATAGGTCAATATTCCCCATTAACCAAACGCTTTTCACCTGCCTCAACATCTCTCACTGTTTTACACTCTGATTGATGCACATAAGCAAACATAAGCAATTCTACACTCATTTACTTGCCACCTTACACCGTGGCTACACTGACGCGACAGTTGTTGTGTCGTGTCGCATCGCTGATTATAATGAGTTCAATACTGTCGTTTGTCGCGCCGCTCGTGTCCGATGTAGACACGGTGTTGCCTTCCTCTCTTCCAAGAATCGGTCTTTGTCAGTCACGTGCGTTTATTATGTGTGACGTCACCGAGGCGCCATTTTGAAGGTATCGTTGCATTGAGCAGTGAACTAAAAGTGTGCAGAGCCGTGCAGTAAAGACCGATTAAATCGTCATACTGGAGAAACAGATGCAAACCAAGTAGATATGGTACCGAGATAATCTCAGCAAATTTTTTAAGGAACCATAATTTATGTAATTTGTCACTGATGATGATTAATAATTAACACCTGATCCATACTAAGGTTACCTGACGCAAAAAGTTGAGTGCCACCGGCATCGCTGCCTCCAACCTCGTTGGATATATGATTATCTTGTTTACAGTATAAAAACTTATTTTATTTACTTATACACTTATATGTTCTGTTTTTGTCTACCATTGATTTGCACACATAATTTGCACAATTGTAAGTAATTACATCATGTGAGTCTCTACCATTAAACCTTACCCTGTTTGTTCACAATTTTCCGTACTTCATTTGGCTGATAACAAGATTGACCCTAAATAACATGTGAATATAATGTTGGCTACTTCAGAAAACAGAAAATAAGCACATCTAAAAAAATCTCTTACTTACCTTTATGAAAATGTCGAGGGTAAACGAACATAACCGGAGATATGTTGGCAAATATGATGATTTTGCATGTCACCGCTGCAACCCAGGCCATCTGAGGCGGCGACGCCTCTTGTTGTTTAGTCTCTTTTTCAAGTGTGAGACCTAAAATATCTTTCTTCGTGGTGAGTTTTTGACCTTTTCTATCGTGTAATTCACTATTGCACACTTTAACACAACAAGAACGTACCATTTTAAATCAAATAAAAAAGACAATTCTCTAACTACAGAACACCTCGGCTTTGATACCCTACAAATGGCAGAGATACCCAAAATGCACTTCGATTCTCGTGAGTGTGACGTCACCTGACAAAGACCGATTGACAAACTCACAATTGTTGAGTTGAATTAAGTTATAAAGTTCGAAGTAGGAGATAAACTTGCATTTGCAAGAAAAAAAAGTCTTCCATTAGATAAATGGAATTGTGAGATAAAATAGGTAATTGTTATGTAAAATGTTATAGGTTTAACGGAGACATATTATGCCCCTTTTTACAATATGTAATATAAGTCTCTGGTGTCCCCAGAATGTGTCTGTGAAGTTTCAGCTCAAAATACTCCACAGATCATTTATTATATCATTTTGCAAATGCCTATTTTGAGTGGAAGCAGAAACACGCTGTTTTTCGGGCCTGTCTCTTTAAATGCAAATGAGCTGCTGCTCACCACCCCCTTTTCCAGAATAGAGCTGCGCCTTTACAGCTCGTATCTGCTAAAAACATCTGTTTTGGTTCTGATTATAATGTTTACCGCACTGAAATCATGTGTTTTAAACCATATGAGTTTAAACTTCTGATATATGGTTTTCTGAGTGCACACATATAGAACGCGGCTGTCACAGCATGTGAGTACTAAACTAAGTTCTCATTCACACACAAGTTTACGTTAAAAACACACGAGTTACAAAAAACAGTCGGTTATGTCTGTGACGGTAAACAGCTGGGAAATAAATCGCATGTTTATTTTACACCTGTGTGGCAGCAGCAATATACTGTAAATAAATCAATAAATGCACTGCTCCGTTGTCTCCTCTGAGGCTGGGACTCTAAATAGTGTTCTGTGCTCGTCTGTGCAGCCAAAGGCAGAACAGTTAGCATGATTTGCTCAAACTTTTGCCATGGCATTAGAACTGGTACACCGTTGTCGCTTGCGAAATCAAAATGATGGCGCCTTTGGTGTAAATTTACAGATTAAGGGGTGGTAATATTATAATGAGATCCCTTTGCCACATCACCAAGGGAGCGAAATCAGACGCATTCGTTTTTTCAGACGCTTGCAGAAAAAGGCTGACCAAAACAAAGTTACTAGATTAATCTTTTTCAAGTTTCCTTGGTTGGTAGATGCACTGGGGACCTGATTATAGCACTTAAAACCTGGAAAAGTCATTTTTTCATGATATGTCACCTTTAAATAGTATTTAATGCTTTAACTGTAGGGCTAATACAATATGTCTCCTATGTGAATATTACATAGACCTATTGTTTAAATCAAATTCATGCTTTAAAAGTAGGGTAATCATAGCAGGTTTCATCCATTGTCTGTTTAAACGTCTGCGTTTAGCTTCAAATGGCATCTTTGACAGTATTATATAAAAATTATTTGCATTCCGATTCTGACGTCTAAAGGCACAACAATAATTTTTTCCTTATTCCATGGATTTTACCCATTCCCTTTCAAACGTTCTTAACTTGTGTATGGGGAAACTCCTGTTTACACTGATACTGAAGCCTGATTTGTTCACGTTTGCGTAGCTGCTCTAGCCCGCCAGAATGGGCGGAGCCGACCCCTATACAAGTCGGCTCAGAGCGCCATTTCATCAGAATATTCTCCTTCAGCAACGAGGATCATCTCTTCGCTGACACTGGACAGAAGAAGCCGAAGAAGGAAAGAAGCTCTCTCGTGGGTAGGGTTGGGTATCGTTAGAAATTTTCCGGTTCCAGTTTTGCCTAACGATTCCGGTTCCACTTAAAAAAAATGTTTGTTTACTATTTTACCTTCATTGAATGTAGTGTTGCTGGAAGGTAGTAAGTAATGTTGAGTAATGCTAGTCCATCAATCACATGTGCTTCAAAGTTGATGTTTTTTACACTATCAATAACATTTTGCTTTTCAAGCAGGAATAAGCTGGTTGGCCAAATAGTCCCTTGAGGGCTAAGACACTTGTTCATTTCCCTAAATTAATGAAATATTAACTGTTATACTTATAACCATGTATACACACACTCCATAAAGCCCCTATTTTAAAAATAATAAAGCAGTCAGGAGATGGTGTGATGCAATGAGTGGTTTCCACATTTTAAAACATTTAAAATGCATGAAAATAAATATTTTCTATCCCTCTGTTTATTACTCTTGAAATGACCTGTACACTAAATAATCTAACCCTCATACTTGCATAACAATAGCAGTCTATTTATTTAGTGGTCCAAGTTGAAGTTAGTATGTATTTTAATGGAAATATGGGACAAATATAATGTAATTTAGTGGCGGCAGGAGCTGCACGCAGCCGGTACATGTACAGTCAGACAAAACAACGTGCACAGTTATCAAAGATACGAGTGCGCGTGACGCAGCTGACACAGAATAGCATACGGCTGTTTACGTTCAGTTGATACTCTCCAAAATGGCAACAGGGTGACGCAGAGGAGACGAATTGTTGAATAAAGTCTTTATTTTTGTTGTCTTTGCGTAAAAAAAGTATTCTCGTAGCTTCGTAAAATTACGGTTGAACCCCTGATGTCACATGGATTATTTTACCGATCTACTTGCTACGCTTCTGGACCTTGATCATGATAATTACATTGCTGTCTATGGGAGGGTCAGAGAGCTCTTAGAATTCATCAAAAATATCTTAATTTGTGTTCCGAAGATGAACGGAGGTCTTGCGGGTTTAGAACAGCATGAGGGTGAGTAAATAATGACAGAATTTTCATTTTTGGGTGAACTAACCCTTTAACTTTGAAACAGATCCTCGCGAAGGTTTGTCCAGAGGACTGGTTTCTGACAGTGGATCTGAAAGATGCATACTTTCACATCCACATAACCTCCCGCCACAGACCATTCTTGAGATTCGCGTTTGAGGGAGTGGCCTATCAGTACACAGTCCTACCATTTGGACTGTCTCTGGCCCCTCGCACTTTTACGAAGTGCATGGACCCTGGTCTTTCCCCTCTGAGAAAGATGGGAATCCGCGTTCTCAATTACCTCAACGATTGGCTGGTTTTAGCCAGAACAGAACGGGAACTAATCGCGCACAGATCGCTTCTGATCAACCAACTGGAGCGCCTCTTGTTGAAAATCAACCCACACAAGAGTCAGTTGTTCCCCAGACAGCGAGTGGTCTTTCTGGGGACTGTTATAGACTCGACCTGAATGCGGGCATGGCTTATGCCGGAACGGTCCTTGACTATTCAGCGACTGGCGGCATCTTTCGAGCCGGGGACTCTGCATCCTTTCAGGACTTTCCAGAGAATGCTCGGCCTAATGGCGGCCGCCTCCTCTGTGATTCCTCTAGGCCTGCTTCACATGCGGCCTCTCCAATATTGGCTCAAAGCCCATGTCCCGTCACACGCCTGGGCCAGTTTTATGTCAGTGTAAGGTCCACGCACTTGGCCCAAGGAAGGTATCCAGTGGTGGATGAAGGTTTCTTGCGTGTTCGGTCTTTTCAGCGCGCAGAGTTATTCAATTTAGGTTTACCTCAAATCTGACTCCATTTTATTATCTAATCTGACTATTAGTATGACCTCGAATTTAGGTTGAAAGGCAAATTGGTTGTTTGTCGGTCTCTAATTATTATTATTACTCTTCTGACATTTGATTATTCTAGTTAACTCTTTACTTATATTTACTCGTTCATTAGGAATCTATGTCGCTTAGGGTGCCTCACGGCGGCCGCTATGCGTGGGACCCACGATCACAAATTCGCCCAGTCTGATCCTTAGCCAGAGGTTTGTGGCTAATACTATTTAATATACCTTAAATAGTAGGTCTGTTTAGCCCCCTACAGTTACCCATGTAATACTCAAACATTAATCAGCGGTTCTTCTAGAACCCCTTGTCTAGACCCCGATAGCTAATATAACTTCGTACAACTTAATTAACTCTGAAATCAATACATGGTTACCGTAACTGAGTACAACTTAAACTATAAGGTCAAGCGGTTAGTCAGAAATCTATCATCTCACCTGATGTGCCCCATGCTTCATCTAAACCTGAGATCTAGTATGCACGTAACCCTGGTCGCAGATTTGCGGAAACATACGCCTTCACTTAATCTACTTGAGGAAATAATTTCAGAGTAAGTCAGAATAGATCAAATGTAACAATTTATTATCAGTCAGGTAAATATGTATTATGCCAATTATCTACATAGCCAATTCAAAGATATCAAATCAATACGATACATCAAATTCTCATAGACAAATCTAAGAGTAAAGGATTCATACCTGACTTTAGGAAAATACATAGTATTGAGTGTGTGGACACATTCCATACTACGGGCTCTATGGCTACAGAATCGCGCCGACCCTTTTGCTGCAATCCTTTAAATACAAAACCAAGATAAAACATCCCCAAATGGAGGCATGTACAAACAATTGGTATCTGGGTGGCTAGTTTACACCTCAATGGGAAACAGAAGGTAATTTGCATGGAATGACCCTCTACAGTAATCAAAGCATCTCTTAACTCTTAGGATCTGTATTATCTTTTAGTCTACTTTTGTAAGATTAAGACCATTGTACCACTCGCCCTGATACTATTCAAATGAAACCAAACATGACTGTAAATCTTATTTGCATTCATATAGAACATTATACTATTGACCATTCTGAGTGTGCTGGGTGAAGAGACGGATGGGTCCGGGGAAGGAAGGGGATGAGGAAAAACCCAATGCATATGTGAGAGACGTTTGCCCGCATTTTCTCTCAGTGAGATGCGTAAACAGATGTCTGTATGTTAATGCACTCTGTGTGTATTGTCTGTCTCAGAAGATCAAAGTATCTGAGTTTCTTTTATCCTTACATCAGGGTTACCCATCGCTGTATCGAGGCTGTGGCCCCTTGGACGACTTCTTGCCTGATTCAACCAGGCGTTCAGTTGGGACTGACCTCCAGGAGGAAGGTGGTTACTACGGACGCCTCCAATACGGGTTGGGGCGCTCTGTTAGAGGGCTGTCCAGCATCCGGCTCCTGGTCGACCCACGAGCGGCGCCTTCACATCAACTTCCTCGAAATGATGGCGGTTTTTCTGGCCCTGAAAACCTTCCTGCCAGCCTTAAAGGGGCAACATGTCCTGGTCCGATCGGACAACATGACAGTGGTAGCCTATATCAACCACCAAGGCGGTCTCAGGTCACGCTCACTTTTACAGGATGGCTCGACGCCTCCTGCTTTGGGCACAGAGCAGACTCCTCTCTATCAGAGCAGTTCATGTGCCGGGCAGTCTGAACCTTGGCACAGACGCGCTCTCCAGAGGCAATGTGGCTCCGGGGGAATGGACACTATATCCTCTGACGGTTCAGAAAGTCAGGTCAGGGAAGTCGGTTGCTCAATCCTCCTGGTGGCCCCACTTTGGAGGAACCAAACTTGGTTCCCCGAGTTAATGCAGCTGTCAGCAGCTGCCCCTTGGCCGATACCGTTACAGAGGGATCTTCTCTCACACGCGAAGGGCATGATTTGACACCCCCGGCCGGAGCTGTGGAGCCTTCATGTCTGGAACCTCGACTTTACGCCTTAACTGCTCCCAACGAGAGTGAGCAACACCATTTTGGAGGATAGAGCACCATCTACGAGACGGCTTTACGCTCTTAAATGGTCAGTCTTCAGTGACTGGTGTGCAGCACGAAGCCTGGACCCAGTATCTTGTGACGTGTCCCACGTGCTGTCCTTTTTACAAGAGCTACTGGATAACGGGCGCGCCCCTTCCACGCTCAAAGTTTATGTGGCAGCTATCGCAGCAAATCAGTCCCTTGAAGCTGGCCAGTCATTCGTCAGAAACGACTTGGTCATTAAGTTCTTGAAGGGCGCCCGGAGATTGTATCCTGCTCGCCCTCAGACCGTGCCGACCTGGGACTTATCCATAGTCCTAAAGGGCCCTAAAGTGCCCGCCTTTCGAGCCGCTCCATTCGGCCGACTTGCGGCCCATGTTGCATAAGACCTCCCTCCTTTTGGCATTAGCGTTGGTCAAGGGAATGGGTGACTTGCAGGCACTGTCAGTCAGTGCTTCCTACAGCCTACAGGTGTCTACAGCCTGACTGTAAGGTCGTCCTCATGCCAAGACACGGTTATGTACCTAAGTTGCTCTCAACTCCGTTCAGAGCCCAGATTATTACCCTTCTAGCGCTCCCCGCTGCAGACGGCGAGTAGGGTCCCAATCCACTCTGCCCAGTGAGGGCCCTTAGAGTGTACATTGAGCGCTCTGGTCTTTTCAGACAATCAGAGCAGCTGTTTGTCTGCTTCGGAGGCCGCTGTAAAGGGCTGCCGGTTACGAAGCAAAGACTTCCCCACTGTCCCGCAGTTTGAAGACAGATGTCTACTTCTTTGCAATGCAAGGGTAAATAAAGAACTGATGTTTGAATAAGTAGAGCGTTTCCTTTACTCAAGAAACGCTGTCTATAAAGGCTAATGTTTTTGTGAGTATAAAGAGCAGAGAAGAGTCTTAGCATTTGCTGTCTAGTTGTAGCCAATACACTTTTGTACGTTTTAAATATCATAGCTGTTCATATTTTATATCATGAGATTTTGGCCAAATGTATTAACAAGAGAAACTGAGCGCCCATATAGCTACAATAAACTTTATAAACTGCAAACTGGTGAAAACGTGATGCTATTAATTTACTGCCTCAGAGGCGGCCGTTCTAATGATGGACAAAACACAGATCTCTGTCACTCGCTCGTCAAAAACCTCATTAACTACATTTGAGTACGATTTTCAGAAAGTAAGTGCAAGTGTCTGATCATATATAAAGCCAAAATACCAGCTCTGATGACGCAATGTTTAATTATTGGATATCCCTTTCTATCTTTTTTTTTGTTTTTGTTTTTTGTAATGCTTAGTGGTGTGCCGTGGGATTTTTTACATATCAAAACTGTGCCGTGGAAGAAAAAAAGGTTGGGAAACACTGTTAAAACACTTTTTACACTTTTTAAAGGGGGCTAAATGATGCCCGTGTTAATTTTTTGATCAAGTACTGTATATGTTTTACTTTATTTACTTTACCAGTGCAGTTTTTATTTAACTTTTAGGTATACAGTACATTTTAATTTAATCATTTAAGTTTATTTACCTGTAAGCACAGTGCAGTGTTACTGTTCAAATTGTATTTACAATGTTTAAAGTGGCAGACAATAATAAATATTCTTATTAGAAATTAAACTGCCTTAATTTTTTTAACTGTGCATAGCTGTAGCTGAATAATTAGGCGTACTACGCTACTGTATTTTAATGTTGGTCATTATGGTGGTACTTGGAGAGCCAAATATTTTCTGAGGTGGTACTTAGTGTAAAAAGTTCTAACCACTGTTCTAATAAATGTATATTTAAAATAAATTATATTATGAGCATAACAATTTGAGTAAAACATTTATTTAATTAACATGAATTTCAGAAATGTTTTTGTATGTCCCAGTTTGTGCCCGTGTGCTCACTGGTGTCTGTTTAAATTTTAACACTGTTAGCGCTGCAACCGAATATCAGCTAACGTACAACAAACTTGAAATGGCAATCGATACCAACACCTCTTGGAAAACAACACTTATAATCAGCACCTCACCTCAGGTTTGAGGAAAAATACTGTTTTACGGTTTATGATAATACTAACTGATTTACTGACTGATTAAAAACCTTTACTCTCTGCTATTTACGCACTTATCTGTTTATGTTTCGTGTTGTTTTCGCAGTGTGATGAAGCCTCGCAGATTCTTGTAGCGCAGCAGCACAGGATTCGCCGCTCGGACAACATCCTGTCCTCTTCCTTTGTTTCCCCCTTGTCAGGTAGAAAGGAGTTACATTTTTTCAGTAAATTGAATCCCTATATCAAGAAGATGTCCTACTGGATTTTTCTTTTTTTTCAATCAAATAATTTAACGAATGTGCAGCTCGCAATGCAAGGGTAAATAAAGAACTGATGTTTGAATAAGTACAGCGTTTCCTTTACTCAAGAAACGCTGTCTATAAAGGCTAATGTTTTTGTGTGTATAAAGAGCAGAGAAGAGTCTTAGCATTTGCTGTCTAGTTGTAGCCAATACACTTTTGTACGTTTTAAATATCATAGCTGTTCATATTTTATATCATGAGATTTTGGCCAAATGTATTAACAAGAGAAACTGAGCGCCCATATAGCTACAATAAACTTTATAAACTGCAAACTGGTGAAAACGTGATGCTATTAATTTACTGCCTCAGAGGCGGCCGTTCTAATGATGGACAAAACACAGATCTCTGTCACTCGCTCGTCAAAAACCTCATTAACTACATTTGAGTACGATTTTCAGAAAGTAAGTGCAAGTGTCTGATCATATATAAAGCCAAAATACCAGCTCTGATGACGCAATGTTTAATTATTGGAAAAATCAAAAATACGTTTCCCCTTTGTATCTTTTTTTTTTTTTTGTAATGCTTAGTGGTGTGCCGTGGGATTTTTTACATATCAAAACTGTGCCGTGGAAGAAAAAAAGGTTGGGAAACACTGTTAAAACACTTTTTAAAAGTTTGCCAGGGGGCTAAATGATGCCCGTGTTAATTTTTTGATCAAGTACTGTATATGTTTTACTTTACATTTAAGTACAGTGCAGTTTTTATTTAACTTTTAGGTATACAGTACATTTTAATTTAATCATTTAAGTTTATTTACCTGTAAGCACAGTGCAGTGTTACTGTTCAAATTGTATTTACAATGTTTAAAGTGGCAGACAATAATAAATATTCTTATTAGAAATTAAACTGCCTTAATTTTTTTAACTGTGCATAGCTGTAGCTGAATAATTAGGCGTACTACGCTACTGTATTTTAATGTTGGTCATTATGGTGGTACTTGGAGAGCCAAATATTTTCTGAGGTGGTACTTAGTGTAAAAAGTTCTAACCACTGTTCTAATATATGTATATTTAAAATAAATTATATTATGAGCATAACAATTTGAGTAAAACATTTATTTAATTAACATGAATTTCAGAAATGTTTTTGTATGTCCCAGTTTGTGCCCGTGTGCTCACTGGTGTCTGTTTAAATTTTAACACTGTTAGCGCTGCAACCGAATATCAGCTAACGTACAACAAACTTGAAATGGCAATCGATACCAACACCTCTTGGAAAACAACACTTATAATCAGCACCTCACCTCAGGTTTGAGGAAAAATACTGTTTTACGGTTTATGATAATACTAACTGATTTACTGACTGATTAAAAACCTTTACTCTCTGCTATTTACGCACTTATCTGTTTATGTTTCGTGTTGTTTTCGCAGTGTGATGAAGCCTCGCAGATTCTTGTAGCGCAGCAGCACAGGATTCGCCGCTCGGACAACATCCTGTCCTCTTCCTTTGTTTCCCCCTTGTCAGGTAGAAAGGAGTTACATTTTTTCAGTAAATTGAATCCCTATATCAAGAAGATGTCCTACTGGATTTTTCTTTTTTTTCAATCAAATAATTTAACGAATGTGCAGCTCAATGTAAAAAGGTTCCGCTAAGAAAAACGTTCCATTCCAATCTAGAAATATTATAATAGATTTCATTTATAGGCTAAGGACAAGAGAACATTAACGCGCTGCGAGTTTGAACAGTCATTATCAAAGTGCACCACTTCACCTGCTCCAAGTTACCTCCTCTTTTGTTTTAAGCATGTATAGCTAGCTTCGATTAGTGATGGCCGCTTTTGAAACACTGCTTCATGAAGCTTCGAAACTTTTGCGAATCAATTGTTTCGAAACAGTGGTTCGGAATCGGAGCACGTATAAAAATGCCAAAGTCACGTGATTTCAGTAAACTAGGCTTCATTACGTCATAACTGTTTCGAAATTTCAATAGTTCGCCTTAGGGGGGCGATCTCTGTGAACCCGTGAGTCATGCGAGTTCACTGAGATCGACCCCCACACCACTGCATCAGCGTCTATGTTTATACGATCTCGGATCAGTTTGATCAATTTGTAGATATTTTTAATGAGACATTTGTGTAATTAAAAGGATGAGTAGTAGTTAATAGTCTCTTACTGGCCTGTTTAGACAAGCTCTCCATAAAACAAACACACTAAACTTTTTGCAATCAAAATTTTATTATTTTGATTGCATTTAATATATTATACTTTCAAGAAAGCGTTTTCATTGGGTTTGTAAAAGCTGTTTTTATGCATGTTTTGGTCTGAGTTTTTGTTGCATTTACACAGTTTTGACCAGCAGGCGTCACCAGCGTGTGGTGTTTCGAGCGCTTCGAAGCAGTGAATCATTTTGCGAAGCAATTGGTTCAATTGATTCGAAGCTTCGAAATGGTTCGTTTCTCCCATCACTAGCTTCGATATTCGAGAAACTTTGCTTGTAGGAGAGTAATTTTAGCCTTTTTTTTTAGTTCCTCCTTCATTGTGAATATAGCTTTTTTTTTATTTGTTACTGTCTAATCATTAAAGTAAACTTTGAAAATATTGATTTGTTTACTTAAATGTAACCTACATAGAGTGCTGCCCCCAAACACTGCATGTTTTCCATGTCTCCTTAATCAAACACACCTGATTCAGATCATCAGCTCATTAGTAGAGATTCCAAGACCTGAAATGTGTGTGTCAATCAAAGGAGAGATGCAAAATGTTCAGTGCTGGGGCCTGGGGGGGTGCTCCAGGAACGTGGTTGGGATCCACTGACCTAGACCAATGATATCCAACGTGGTGCCCTGGAGTCTGTGAGTTGCACGCTAAATAAATAGTCGACATTAGGGCTGAATTAGGAATTGTGGTTAATATGTCTGCATGTTCTGCATGTCTCCGTGTGAACTGTGAAGGAATGACACGGTTTCACAGCATTTTCAGCATCTGCTTATCAATGAGGACAAACAGTCAAAATAAAAGTTTGTTTTAACATGAAGAAATTATAACAGAAATATATTACTGTATGCTAATATATATAACTTTTCAAAGTAATAATAATAATAATTTTTAAAGAAATCATACAACCAGGTTATTTTTTTTTTCATTAATTTATACAGCAGCATTATACAAAAAAAAAAAATGCAACATTTGGTTGTAAATCAATTTTCTTTTGATTACATTTTTTTTTTTTAAATGATCGATTAAACGGTTTAAGTTTTCTTAATTCACAATGGATTTCATGGGGGCCTAATTAAAAGGTAGCTACTCTGTGTCGTTTAATTGTAAACAAAGTTATGTTTACCTTCATTCTTAAGTTCTAACAAACATATGGAAAGCATTTCCTTCCCCATTAATGGTAAATGCATATTGTGATAAATATCGATATGTATAATATGGCAGTAAAATATTCAGGGAAATGAATATTTATACTTTTATAAATTTAACTGGAATATTTACTAGCATAGATTGTTGAATTATATATATATATCAAACAAGTAGCTCTCTAGACTATTTTATCCTTCACTCAGTAGACTGTCCTAGAAAAAACATTTTTCCATTGGCTTTTGGATTGCTGCAGAAAATAAGCTCTATGATCAACAAAAGGTTATGATTCTTACATGTTTTATTCATTGTTATAATGTCCAAAATTAACACTTTGAACAACATTTTGTAGCCGAAGTACAATCAGCAGAAGTAAAAAGCTAAACATTTTTTGCCTTGCTGTCACTTTTCTGTTACACAGGTACAGCTTTTTTGCTGGTCACACCGGAGGAGTTTCCAGCTGAGCTTGAGAATGCAGAATTTTTTGAGAGAATTGAGAAATTTGTGCAGGTCCATAGAAACAGTTTTCTTCTGCTTCAAACCCCAGTTTACGGAAAAAGGGAGTGGGAGATTTTATCATCAGTGCAAAACAGGTGCATAATGAATTAAAATCTACAAATGTACAACCTTATTTTGATTACATACTTACTTGACCAAAGGGTCTAGGGATGGCATCTGGAGAGCCACTCAGACTAAGATCTACTCCGACTCAGAATAAGATGACTGTATGGCCTAATTATTTTTTAAATAATTAGTTAAAATTTTATTAATAATAAACAACCAATGAACCACACATGCAGTGAGGTCTGTTTAATTTCAAAATTCTTTTAATCTACCGAGCTGGACAAATACAAGTATGTGATAAAATGGCTTAACTCTGATGTTTTATTTTTGCAACAGATTTCTTGGCTGTAACCTCAGAGTCATACCTGTGCACAGTACTGCTGATGTAGTGAAGGGAATTCTGGTCATTGCTAAGGTAAGCAGTGATGGTTTTCTACAATTCAGTGTGGATGATTCACACGCTTTATTAATTATTTAAATTTTCTAGAAATGTTTTAATTTTATTGTGAATGCTGTATCGAGGTTAATTATGGGCTTTTAATGTTCATTTTAATTTAACGTCAAGGACAGTGCTCACTATACAAGCATGCATAGGAAAATTGCATATATAAGAAGTTTATTACTAGCATGGTGCATACAAAAATTTTATTGGCCTTTTTTTTTCCAGGCCACAAGTAAACCCAATGTGGCGAATTTGAGAGATCAGATGTCTTTGGCTTGTACTCACATCATTGATCATAGCCCAGTTTGGGGAATGCTTCAAGAGATGCAGTTCTAGTGAGATTTACACTATGTTCCTCTCCATTCATGTTCTTATTGCTTACTATACTTGTTTTGAACAGCAGATGTCAGTATTGTTTCATAGTAAGTTGTGTCAAATCTGTTTCTTGCCATTCATACTTTGTTGTTTAGCCTTAAAAAAACATTTTCTTTCAAAATAGTTCATAAACTATTAAGAACAAAGTATAAACATAGTTAGAGGGAAAATGTCCACCTTTTATTTGTGCTGGAAAAGTCTTCAAAGTCAGAATACAGAATAGTATTGAAAATATTGATATTGTAGCTCTCACATTGCTCTTTATCATTACAAATGTGTCATGCTACAGAGAAGGTAAATAAATAAATTAATAAATACATTATTCAGTTCAGAAAGCAGCAATTGTCCCCATTTCATTTTTGACTGTCCTCAGTGATTTCCTCTATATGGACCACAAGGCTTTCCATTAAGTCATATGTGACCAAGGCGCACTGCAAGACCTGCAAATTATATGTTTAGTACAGTTTGTTTTATGACTCACTGTCACTATTTTAAAACTGAATTCCGATAAGTAGAATTGATAATCTAACCTTATCCTGTGCCTCACATGGCATGTTGTCAAGCGTCTCCGGTTTCACAAGCAAGCTCTGAACTGATCTCTTCCCAGAGGCCTCCTTAAATTCTGTTGGGAAAAAACAATGTTACGTCCAGTCAAAATCCATGTTCTTCACTATATAATAATTACTATTTAACAGAGAAAGGATACAAAGCATGTATTACCTTTAGCCTTGATCTTTTTGTCCTCTCGAAGTCTTTTCAACTCTGTACCATAGTATGATTTTGACATGCTTAGACATAGTCGTAATAATTTTGTGTAACTGTCTGCAATGTGGCACAGGTCTGTCCATATTCCAGTCTGAAAATAACAGAGTGGGTCTTATTAATAGAACATGATGAAAATATAAGTGTAATGATATATATAGTTGTGTTTTGACAAAATGCTGTAAAAATCTTACAGAAATTTTTCTTTCCTGTATCAATAAATACCGCAGAAGATTCAGAGACTCCATTACCCTTTAAAACAATGAAGAAAATATGAATATGGAGAAAAAAAACAAACTAAACAAACTTTTGCCTAATACAGAGAGTTATGCAGAACAGGTGCATATTGTGGTAAAAGCTGACAGGTTTACCATTTGCATATCAGCAGGATGAAGGAAGGCCTAAGTAATTTATCAGGGGCAGATTATTCAGACGAGGTATGTCAATCACTCAGGTTTTAGTATCATTTTAGGAATGACACAGGATCTGCCTCAAAATATTGGACTGCTCACCATCTGTTCTGTATTGTGGGATCATGGCAGTAAACCTGGACTACACTCATACATAAATTATGGTTAGGGATGGATTGTATCTTGTTAGTAGGAGATCTAACATTTAAAATGGAGACAGCTGCCATATGTGGAGGCTGTACTTGGGTTACGATTGATGTCAATGATTTGTTGATATAAAAATTGATTAGATCCATCAAGATGCAGGTCTTTGTAAAAATACAGGTTTTCTTCACCTGTCCATCCCATGTAGCAAGTCGGTTTCATGGCCCTGTGGGAGAATGAGAGTTTCTCTGAGCAGTGAGATGAGCGGAGTCCCCTCAAACCAGCTGTCATCATAGGCTGACTTTAATAGCAAAAGAGAAAAATATTTCTAACATTAGTGATTCGGTGTTGATCAAAATCCTGTCACTTGGACAAGCAGACAGATAAGCAATGTTTTGTACACTACCTTTCTGCAGCGTTCCACTTGATTCTTTATGTTTTTGATGATGATACTTTCTACACCTGCATGATGGCTAGTCTTCATGATGCGTCTTAGAGCATTCAACAAAGGCAGAATAAGCAATTAACACTCAGACAAAAATGTTCTACTTTTTATATTTGTCAACCAGAATAATGCATTCACATATTGATAGCAGTTTTAATTAAATATATATTTAAACTTTCTAGATACCATACCTGAAAAATGTGTGCTTGGCTTCACCATTAAGCTTCTCTATAAAGAGCTGGAACACCGCAAGGCTTTTTCCTCTCTAAATGAAAGAGGGCACATGACCGCAAACAAAAAACGGGCTTTAACAGATCAGATTTACTTGTAAAAGCAAGTTGTGTCTCATCCATACCTACCAAATGCTGGATAGGACAGTCAATCATAATTGTAATTAAGTTCTGTGAACAAATAACAACAATTCTCGTTAAAATAGTAAGCATTTTTGTTTTCACCAAGGATGCACCAATTATTAAAATTCTGGGAATCATTCTACCAATAAGTTAAATAATATATATCTAATATCGGCTGATTACTGATATGGAACCAATATATTGTGCGTCCTTAGATTTTACCACCAAGAAGTTATGTATGTTTTAAGAGGCGTGTGATATATTATTTCTTTATTCCATAACAATACATAGCATTGCTGCATACCTTTGGAACCTCATGAAATGGTTTCAGCTCCAAGAGCTCCACTGGGAGACTGCAGTCTGTTACTCTTTCCAAACTTTTAACATGTAAGTCCTACAAAATGCAAGAAGACATTTTCTAGCAAATGACTACTCATTACTGAAAATTGAAGCATGAACATCATTTTCTGTTCTTGTAATGACTGTATTAATAAATGTTTTGATGGAAGTTTACTCTACCAGTCCTTTCAATATCCATGATTCATCCTTTCTGTATGGGGATAAAAAGCAGGAAGGAGAGTCAGACTAAATACATGGCACACCATTTTGGTATTTATATTTATTTATTTTTAAATAATAAAAATTGTTGTATACACACCTACTTAAAAGAAGATTGATGTATTCCATATTACACTGCAGGACGAAAACAGGGCTGAAATATTAAATTAAAAATTTTTGTTATGAGCAAAATGAGCGCAGGTACATTAAAGCTGTAGCGATCGCATAAACTGCTTTCATATAGACAGTGTGTACCACAAATTGAAAAAATTATGGAAGTCTCTAAATTCTTTTGGTGCCAAATATATCAGTATGTTTTTGCGCACAAAATAAGATTCTCAACTCCGCAAGTGAAGGGTATTTTAACCCCTTTGAAAGCCCAAGAGATCTGTGGCCTTAACAGTTCACACTGTCTTTGAGTCTGGTAAACACATGGTGAGATGAGGAAAAAAAACACATTTTTGAGGTCTAACTGCTACTTACCTAAAAACTGCAGGAAGCACTTCTATGGCAATAAGCTGGACAAAGAGCAAGTAAGCCATGCAAGCTCTTGATTCATTCAGATGAAAACCATCTTTCTCCGAAATTGTGTCTTCTTTTCCTCTCAAAGGATAGAACAGGATTTTTGGCAGAGATTGTTGGATCACTGCTAGGATTGCCTAGTATTTGAAGCACAGAAGCACTCAGAAGTCAGGTCATCATTTTCCTAAAAGTACCGTGCCTAAGCCTAATAGTAACAACAAAGTAAGTGATATCATTACCATTATTTCTGTGGCAAAATTCCACAAGGGTGAAATTTCTGTCATGTTCGCCTCTCTGTCCAGTTGAACTTGGAGGAGAGGTTCCCTTAGACTCTTCATGCAACTGAGCAATTACAGAAAGAAAGGAAAATGTGAAGAATTAGGTAAAATACTGGTTAAGATCACATGCATATAATCAACAAAGGGTTACATATTTCTCAACATTGTCGCTTAAATGACTGCTAATTTGCAAAATGTTAACTGACATCAGACTCTGACAATCGGTTATTTTTAACTTAAGACACCCCATCATATCTTCATTGATGGTTTCTGAGAACTGTTTCTCTTGCATAGAACAAAACTGAACATTGTCTAAATCCCATAGTTATTATCATTAGGGCCAGAGCATTTCGATGTTTCAAGAGTTTTTCAGTCTTGCGACAACCGATCATATTTTCATTTCAATCATGACAACTCTCGGAAGATTTTAGCATGGTGAGGGATATGACAATGTTAATGTATTTGGTCTTGGCGGAATAGATCTGCTACGCTGCTGCTGAATTGCTGCTGTTGTTGGTTATTGCTGTAGTTGTAGATTATTGCGTTTGAACAAAATAACCAACATTTAAATTTCTTAATAGACCAGTATATATCTTAATGTCTTTTGAATGTTTAGACGTCACTGCAGCACTGTTAAATCTAATACTAACACTATAAATACAATATAGTTAGATCTAAATCTGGACGATCGCTCGTATCATTATATCCCACAGCCCTAAAACTTTCTCTGTGGTAAAGCACTATGGCATTATAGACATAACAGTGTGACTTTACAGGGATCAACGCTAAGGATTTTTGCTACTGGCCTGGTCGGGCCAGTGGTGCAAATTTTTACTTGCACTGCCAACATTTTCACTGGCCCTGCCACAAAAAATAAAATAGTTGCTGTTATCATTGTTACAATCTTGTATTCTAATAAATAAGATTATATTATATGACACCAATATTTTAGATACCAATTCAATTGTACAATTCCCTATTTCAATTATGATACCACAGCAAAAATCACTAGCCAAAAATAAACATAAATATAAAGTTTAAACATTATTAAAGACAAGTGACAGCCAGTAAATAAGAACAAATAAACAAATTAAGTAGTAGCACAATCAAATGTAGGCCTATAGCACAAAGATAGAAATGAAATGATGCTTTAGGTTTTTATGTTTGCAGATGTTCAGGTACAGAAATTGAAAAATCACATAAAATAACATTTGCATATTCTTCACTCTGTGTTGCACCTTGATTTTTCATAGCCATTTGAAATTAGAGGCAACCACTGCATTTTAATCATAAATTGTGCAATGTTTGATTTATATTAGACTGTATAATTTCAAAATCTGAAGCAAAAACAGAATGACCTGACTTTAGCTTTGTGAAATTATGCTACATAAAACATCTGTATGAAACAGAAACAGCAGGTGGGCTGAATGAGACGCAGATTCACTCTCTGACAGCAGGTGGCGCTTATGGTACAGTGATACAGCGTTTCCTTGGTTACCGCTGTAAACACAGCAGCTGTGTGTATTAAAGGCAGGGTATGTGATTTTTCAAAAACGCTTTAAAAAACTGATTCGGGCCGAATCGCAAAACAAACTTGTAGCCAATCAGCAATAAGGGGCGTGTCTACTCGT